TGACCAGGATGGTCTCGATCTCTTGACCTCGTGATCCACCCGCCTCGGCCTCCCAAAGTGCTGGGATTACAGGCTTGAGCCACCGCGCCCGGCCCAGTGTTAACTATTTAAAATCACATCACTCCCCCCAAAATTTTTTTAAAATGATATACTATATATTGAATTTATAACCAGAAAATTTTCAATTAAATGGTTTTAGGAGAATTTTTTATAAATAAACTTTGTGAAATTAGTAATCATCAACAACGCATGGAAATATAATAAAAATGTGCATCTTGAATTTGCCTAATGAGCAGCAAAATAACACAAATTGGATGTTCTCTTTTTGAAAATGGCTTAACATCTGGAAAAACAATACAGAATGATCAACTTTCAAAAATAAATCTATCGTATAAATAACAATACTGCCAGTTAGCGGTAACCTTAACATAAGCCTTAAACCTATGAGATGATTAGTTATTATAGCAAAGATTTCTTAAAAATTGGCTCAAAATATGTAACAATCACTCACTTTTTTACAGCTTCTCCTGGGGAAAGAGAAGTAACCACTGAGCTTCCAGGTTGTGAGATATAAAACAGCTGTTGTTCATTTTTGGTTGGAGCTATTTTACATTCATGTTCATGTCCCCAGATAACAAGATCAATGAAGTCATCCAAAAATTGTTCTGGAATGAAGTTAGTACTTCCATGTTTACTTCTGTATCAAGATTTTGAAAAATAAATATAAATTCAGTGATTAGAAAAATTTCATATTAATGGAAGTCTATACAGATCTTTCTTTCTCCATTCACTAAAGCTTTTATTCCATCCTTCTATGTACCAGAAAGTGTGCACAGGATTGGGAATGTAAAGATTATCAATACTAATTCCTGACCTCAAGAGCTTTACAAACTTGTAGGACACAGACAAGTGGAAACCCTAAGACAAGGCAGTCAATTATACCTTTGGAGGAAGATCATGAAAGGTTTTACATAGGAAGGAATTCCCCTTTGGTTAATCAGAAAAGCATGAACTCTATCAGTAACAGAAATCTATAAATCAGCCTGACTATATACTAAAGAAAAATACAGAAAATGAAAGTGAGTTAAGTAAGTATAAATGTGTCAAATAATTTCTTAACATTATCTTTTAACTAATAAATTTAATGGGAGTAAAAATGTCAATCTCACATAAGCACTAAGAGTTTTCAAAATCAAATATTAAATAAATGATTTGCAAACTATGATCTTATACTTAGATTAGTTATTATTTAAAGATAGATGAAATGCAAGCTGAGGGAAGACAAAAAGGGATAGTTTTCCCTAGTATTAACTTACATCATTGGAAATTCAAGTAAAAGTGTTCACATACTTCAACTGGGCATTCACTTAATCCAAACCAATATTCTTTCATTCACCCAACAAACGATGTCACCCAAACACTATCTACTTTATGTCAGATGTCCCGGGCTTCTTCTAGATATTGAAGACACAGCAGTGAACAAAGTCATTGTTCCAGTGTGGGAAACAAGCAATACAGGTTGAGTCCCTAATCTGAAAATCCAAAACCCAAAACATTTTAAGTGCCAACATGGCACCACAAGAGGTAAATTCCACACATAAATACTTAACACAAACTTTGTTTCATGCACAAAATTATTTTAAAACATGTATTAAATTAACTTAAGGCCATGTGTATAAGGTATATATAAAATGTAAACAAATTTCACGTTTAGACTTGGGGTCTATCCCCAACATATGTGCAAACATTCTAAAACATATGTGCAAATATTCCAAAATCCAAAAACATCCAAAATCTTAAAAACTTCTGGTCCCAAGCATTTCAGATAAGGGATACTCAATCTGCAGTGTAATATGTATATGCATGTGCGTATGTATGCACACGTATAACTTGTCAGTTAGTAATAGGTGCTACAAAGAAAAATAAAGGAAAAAGTGACGTAGAAGTAGCATACTATTCTACATACACATGTAGTCAAGAAAGGCCTCTCTGACTAGCAACAAATGAGCAGAGAAGTGAGATGAAGCATCAGTACACAAAGAGAGAAATTCCTAGGCAGAAGAGCAGATGGTGCTAAAGTGGGCGTGTGTTCAGTGAGTTCAAGAAACAGCAAGAACAGAAGGGCTAAGCAGAATAAATGCAGGGAAGACAGAAAATAAAATCAAAGAATATACAGGTTTGTGTATCCAGTAATGTTTTTATGTAAAAAACATACATCTAAGGTATGAGATTATCACAACTACTAAAGAAAAATAGACTAATTCCCAAATACAACATTATGCCATTGGGTCTTCACTGACTGCTGGCTCTTTCCTAGAAGAAGGAGAGGTGATACTTGTAGGCTGACAGTAATTTGTGACCTAGAGGGGATCAAAACATCCTTGTTGAAAGATTTTGCATGACAAAGTTGTCTGCAGACTCAGATTCTTTTTTTCTTTGAAACAAGAGAAAAAACGTCAATATAGAGAAATAAATGTGAAATAAGGTAAAATGCAGAAAGCTCAAGATTCTCACCCAATCTGAGGAAATCTTTTTTTAATAACTCTCATGAAAGCAGTAACAAAAGAAGTAACTAAGGATGCACAGGGTGACAAATGAATCTAATGGCATTATCAAAGAATCACAAAACCACAGTGAAGGGGATGGGGAGAAAAGGAGCTAAGTAACTTTGGAAAATTATGCTTCGACTAAATACAGAAAGGCTAAAGACTAAAATAACTTACATAAACATTGTAACTTAGTTGGGAAAGTTGTCTTTCAGAGGAGTATGAGTTCATAATTTTGAAATTACTTTATAATTTCAAATTATACCAGGATTGGACATATAATTAAACCAGGATTGAAAAAATAAGTAAATATATTACATATATTTATAATATGATCCAGACTTCTGTTAGACAAAGAAGTCACAAATAAGGAAACGGAAAAGACAAAAATGGACCTTGTAGGGCTGGATAAGAATCAGTCTTAACTTATTATTGGTTTTTTAAACACGTATATAGACATGTATGTATGCATGAGGTTGCTATACACACATGTATTAATTTCCTTAACTCTGTTCATTAAGAGTGCTGAGCCTGGTAGCAGTAAGCACACCTGGTACCCATTTGTGGGTTTCTAAATACCACTCTCCAATAAAAAGAATCAGAGCTCCTTGGAGAAATGGCTGACTCCACGGCTAGGTAGGTAAATATTAGATTGGTGCAAAAGTAATTGTGATTTTTGCCATTACAAGAGCCTAGAGCATCCTATGGTGCCAAAAAGCTAAGGTCAAAGCCAACATAAAAGAGAATGCAAAGGTCAAAGCTAGAATAATCTGAGGAAAAGTAGCAACTAAAAAGCTGATAGTACTAGATCTTCAAGTCCATAATGACATAAACAAATAAGTAAACAGAGAAGGGACAAATTTTCCTTAGAGAAGAATTCCATTAATAAATACAGAAAGAATGAAGGAAATCAAAATTCACAATTAAAATATGACAGTATTAATTATTGGAAATAAGGTCACCCATGGATGCTAAAGTTATTGGTAAGTTTAAGGTGAAACAGGGTATTTGCATAGTCTCAAAGTATTTTCCCAAAAATGTTTATTAATTGAAAGGTGGAAAATTGGAACTTTACAGCAGAGAAATCTGTTATACAACCTCTTAATCAAATGATGAGGGGGACAATGAGAAAAATAAACATTATATGGTGACTACCCATTCCGCTTACCAATGCTGCCATTCTGCCTTTCATTCTAGCTTGAATTCTTAGAATTACTTATGAGTTTTCCTTTCAACTCATCATCCCTACTTTGGCATAGTATAAAAAAAAGTGGCAGAACTGGAAAGCTTTACAGAAGGAACAAATCCCAATGGTGCAAAGTTATATGAAGACCACACATATCTAAACTCTGACCTGCTACTCCTTTGAAACTCACAGTTTGTTCAAGAACTTACACATAAGGCAACACAAGTCAGCCTCCTAAACCCTTTCTTTTACTGAGTATTTAGCATAAGTCTGCATTCATCGAATGCTCAGAGTAGTTTGCATTCAATAAATGTGTTCAGTAAATATAGCTGGCCCTCTGAATTGGCAGTTTCATGGATTCAACCAACCACAGATAAAAAATATTCAGGAAAAAAGAAACAACAATAAAAAACAATACGAATTTTTTAAGCAATATAGTATAACAACTATTTACACAGCATTTACACTGTATTAGGTATAATAAGTAATCTAAAGATGATTTAAAGTGCACAGGAAGATATATGTAGGTCATATGCAAATGCTGTATCTATTCAAGGGATTTCAGCATCCCAGGATTTTAGGTCCTGGACTCAACACCCCTGTGGATACCAAGGGACAACTGTAATAAATTATATAATCAGGGCCAAAACTGTTGAGTTCTTCCCTGACAACTTCTCAGCTGTAACCTTCCCATTTGTTTCACTGCCATCACTGCCACCACCTCACATTTTTATTGCAGTGATCACATAATAAATCTTGCTTCTTCAAGTCTGTCTTCCTTTCAATCAATCCTATACCCTACCAATGGATTAAACTTCTTCAAACTACTAACAAAAGAAAGCTAATCTAGCTATATTTGTTCCTGGAAGAAAACTTGCATAAAAGGCAAAAGGAAACATGTCTAAGAATGTTCGTAACAGCAAGGTTTATAAAAGCAAAAACTGTTCACTGACAAGAGGCAAAGCATAAATGTACACATCAGTAAAAATAAATTACATTTCTAAGCATCAAAATGGATGAATCTCAGTAATGTAATGCTGAAAGTAAGTCAGCTGTAAAATATATGGCATAATACAATTAAGGGTATACATGTGATTAAACAGCAAGGAAAAGCAATGAAATGATTAATTCAAAATTAATAATGCTTCCCTTTGGGATATGGGGAAGCAGGTGGAATCAGGGAAAAGGAGTGGGATAAGGGAATGGATAATTCAACAAAAAGATTCTACCTTTTTGTTGAATTGAAAAGTATTCATGGTATGCCTTATCCATATATTACAAATACTCTTGTAGGTATTAATATATACTAAAAACGATATCAAAATAAAATCACACAAAGTAAATTTATATTTTGTCCGATTCTGCACTGACAACCTTGAAAAACTGAGGGCATTTCACTGTAATAGGTGAGCTGCTCAGAAACAGATTTGGAACCTCAGCACTCGGCTCAAACTTTTTCAGAGAAAACTTTTACCTGTTCTGATGAATCACAAATAAGTTAAACCAAGAGTTCTCATCTTCTTTTGGTCTCAACATTGTTACTTTTTTATTGACAAACATTCGATAGAGCCTTTCATCTGGAATGGATCCTGAAATGGACATTACATTATTTTTAAATTGTTTTCTTACTTTGGCTTTAAAAAATGAATCTACTTTGCTTCTAAATTATGTGCTTCTCAAAGTATTTCACTTTACTCTTGAGATATATATCTGAATTCTGGAATCATTTATAAGTGGGTATGTTCCAGGTTCTTTTTTTTTTTTTAATCTTTGTTTTTTGTTTTTTTTAATTGAGAGAGGGTCTTGCAATGTTGTCCAGGCTGGCCTCAAACTCCTGGGCTCAAGCAATCCTCTTGCCTCAGCCTCTGAAAGTGCTGGGATTACAGACATAAGCCACCATGCCTAGCTGTTGCAGGCTTTTTTGTGTTTGTTTGTTTTTTGGNTTTTAACATTAATACTGTTTTTTTTTTTTTTTGAGATAGAATCTCACTCTATTGCCCAGGATGGAGTGTAGTGGTGTGATCTCGGCTCACTACAACCTCCACCTCCAGGTTCAAGCAATTCTCGTGTCTCAACCTCCAGAGTTGCTGAGATTACAGGCATGCACCACCATGTCTGGCTAATTTTTGCATTTTTGGTAGAGATGGAATTGCACCATGTTGGACAGGCCGGTCTTGAACTCCTGACCTCAAGTGATCTAGCTGCCTTGGCCTTGTGCTGGGATTACAGGTGTGAACCACTGTGCCCAACCTGTTCCAGGTTTTTGATAACAGCAGTTAATTGCATTTGAAAAACATTTTCCATTTCAGGCATATATTTGTTCAAAACCAGCAAAATGTAGAATAAAAATCTGAGTTTTCTATGCCTAAATTCTTATTAAAACTTCGAGTAATACTGTTTTTCACTATCCCTTTGTTATAAATTCTGCATACTTTTGATCTAACATATACATTATAACATGCATAGAAATATTAAAAGGGATCATAAAAAGTATATTTAAAAACAGTATCCTTATATTATTTTAAATAAAATATATGGTGTTTTTTACATAATTCAATGACTTTCAAACAGTTCTCAGATTCCATAGGCTCACTGTGATCTAGTGAAGGAAACTAACAAAAAGTCAACAAAATGATTATAAATATTAAATATCATAGAAGGAGAAAACACCAGGATGCTAAGATGGAAAATTAACACTATGGAATTAAGGGGGGTGGACAATGCTGCTACTTCATATACTGATTAGAGAGGGTATGAGAAGAAAAGCCAACAATGTAGAAGTCTAGGAGCTAGAAGAGGCCTAGCTCCCCAGGAGAATTCTACAAGAATAAATAGCTGGGGTGGAATGCAGAACATGTAACTGGAGACAGAAAAGTCAAGGCACACAAAGCCCAAGGCACTAGACGACTAATCTACTTGAGTGTTAAAACACTGAAAACACTGGCAAAATTGATCTTAGGTAGGTAGGTAAAAAGTCTGAGAGAAAAAGCAATACAGTTTAGCCAGGTGGCAGAAGCTTAAAGAGAATGGGGTGTTTGCAGGCAGAAAAGGAGGTGGTAGGTGGAGCATGGGGAACAGAGACAGGGATCTCTGTCCAAAAGCCAAGGGTAAGAGAACTGCATGGGATACAGGAACCTCAGGGGCCAGCTGGGCTTCACTGAAGGTTAGAAAGTGAAGGCAACATGCAGAGAAGACACTGATAATAATGAGGAATTTGATAATTATAAAAAGAGTTCTAGAGTTTATAAAGAAGGGCTGGGGCACACAGAGGGGTACAGGGTGGAGAGAGAGTCCAGTTAAGGAAGGTATAATAGAACAGGATGAGATAAGAATTTGGGAGAAAATAAATGACTGAAGAGACTTGCTTCTGGTGGTGACTGAGGCATAATAGAATCTGTTCTTAGTCTGAATGGAGGAGGAAAGACAACTTTTCTGGAAATATGATCCCCATGAACACTGTAGTGATTAAAACAACTGTTAATACCTTTTTTTAGAAAAGCATATTTCTAAAAAAATATGTTCTATCACTTGCAGAATCATATATAACACCCAAATTTCATTTTCCTTATCTCTAATATATAAATAACCATGATGCTTTTCTACTTGCCAGAGGCATTATGAAAACCGGACAAAATTATAAGCTAGTTGTATTGTACACTGAAGACTTCCAAGATATCAAAGTGTAGTTTTGCTAATTATTCTATAATTCTAACATTCAGGATTCTGTATCTGAGTCTAAAAAAAATTCAAAATAATAAATAGTAAGGAGAAAACATTTTTTCTCCAAAGATTTTTACCAAAACCATCCATTTGTTATAGTCACCAATAAAGAATAATAAGGTTTGCCCCATTTTTTCCAAACAGACACAACTCCAAAATTTCATTTCTCAATTGTTTAAAGAATCATATATGGACATAAATAGTAAAATATAACTCTCTTACCTAAACCATATAGCGCAATCTTTGTGCTTCCTTTTTGAAGCAAAACCGGACTAATGTCTATCTTCTCCACAGACATTGAACGTCCAAAGTGATTTACAAATCCAGCACAACTTAAAATGTCCAGGGCACACAGTGCATCTGCCTACACAAAATAATTTCAAAGAATATTAGTGTGTATATAAAAGTAAGTATCTGCATGAATATCCTCTCACCTGTTAAAAGCATACTCCATATACTACTTACAAAAACACAGATGAGGATAGTGTCTTCTCAAAACAAAATTATAGTTGTAAAAGTATTTGCTACATTTTTTGTACTATAAATCACATACAGCAACTGGAATCACAGGCCAAATGCAAGGTTAACATCTCATCAAAACTTATCATGATGTCTTGGCCACAAAAAGTAAAAATCAGCCATGAGATAAATGCTTTGTAATATTAACCAAACCTCTTAAAACCTGGGGAAAAAAGACCATAGATAATCAGTGATTGATAATATTAACGGCCAGATAAAACAAAAAGATACTTTGAGTGTAGGATCTCTAGTCTTAGAGGGATAGCAGGGGGTTGGGGAATAGGGGAAGAATAGCATTAGGAGAATTACCTAATATCAAACAAGCAGTAAGAATATCTAATTCAGATTTAAAGATGTTCATGAAACAATCATTTCCTAAAAGTGAGATTTCATAAGACAGTTATGAAAACACTGGCAAACTATAAAGCTATATACAAATGTTAGATGCTCACTCCTACTCCTGGCTGCTTATTGTTAACATCAGCACTAATGAAATAAAAGCATAGCTCATACACCAATTCCTATTCAAGATTTTTTTAAAAAATCTAAAAAGCAGCATAAAAGCTTGTATGAATGTGAAAAGTCAGCTTGACTTTTTGACCCAATTTAACTACACAATGAGAAAAAAGGGAGGTATGCTTTCCACAAACTAAACTGATCATTTCCAAAATTCCAACAAAGTGTAAGAAAACAATAATTACCCCCGTGGGATCGTCATGATTGCCATGAATACTAAACACTGGAATTGAAATGTTGAGATTGCCATCTTGATAGTTCACCCATGGAAACCTTAAAAATAAAAATAAAAAGTTACTTAAAATTCCTATAAGGGACAAAAGCTGTTTTCCCTAAGATTCTCCTCTAAAATATTAATGCAATCATAGGTAAACTGCATAATCTACATTGGCATATGACCACTAGTTTAGAGCTTTAAAAAATAAAATCAGAGGTAATGATTCATTTCAATTAAAGTTTGAAAATATCTCAAATTACTACATTTTAAAGAAACTCCAACTATAATAAACACTGCTTGTGGTATGTATGAGTACTATATCTGATATTTGATTAACGAAAAGTTAATAGACCTTCAAAATTTTAAAAACCTAGTATATGGTTTTTATTTGTAGTGGGGGGAGGGAAGAAAACCCATATACTTTAGAATCCTGAAGGGGTATATTAAAACGCCCAACTCTGAGTGCAAATTAGTTCAGCCATTGTGGAAGACAGTGTGGTGATCCACAAGGATCTAGAACTAGAAATATCATTTGACCCAGCAATCCTATTACTGGGTATACACCCAAAGGATTATAAATCATTCTATTATACAGACATATGCACACATATGTTTACTGCAGCACTGTTCACAATAGCAAAGACTTGGAGCCAACCCAAATGCCATTAATGATAGACTGAATAAAGAAAATGTGGCACATATACACCATGGAATACTATGCAGACATAAAAAAGGATGAGATCATGTCCTTTGCAGGGACATGGATGAAGCTGGAAACCATTATTCTCAGCAAACTGACACAAGAACAGAAAACCAAATGCCGCATGTTCTCACTCATAAGTGGTTGTTGAAAAATGAAAACACATGGACATAAGGAAGGGAACATCATACACCAGGGCCTGTCAGGAGATAGGGGGTTAGGGGAGGGATAGCAGGGGGTTGGGGAATAGGGGAAGAATAGCATTAGGAGAATTACCTAATGTAGATGACAGGGTGATGGATGCAGCAAACCACCTATGTAATAAACCTGCAGGTTCTGCACCTGTACCTCAGAACTTAAAGTACATATTTAAAAAAACCTCCCAGCTCTATCACTTACTACCCATGCAACTTAAAGTCTCCTGTCAGCTCCTACCCCCAGCTATCCAGCTACCCTTCTCAGAGACAAATAATGTTAGCAATTTCTAGTGCATCTTTCAAAAGGATCCTATACCTATACACAGAGATAGATTTTCTTCCTCCTTACATAAATGATAGCAAAATACGGATTTCTGCATCCTGCTTTTATCCCTCAACATTTTAGAAATCATTCCACATCAGCACATGAAGACCTTTCTTCTGCTCTGTCAGCCACACAGTACTTCATTGCACGGTAACACAATGTGTTTGAACAGTTCCCTAACAATGGACATTTAGATTCTTTGCAGTCTTGTTTTGCAAACAATGCTACAGTGAGTAATCTTGTACAAAATAATCTTGTACAGTGAGTAATCTTGTACAAAGGAATCTCACACAGTGAGTGATCTTGTTAACCTTGTGAGTCTATCTGTAAACAAATACCTGGAAGAGAACTGTTAGGTCAAAAAGTACATGCATTTGTAATTTTCATAGGCACTGCCAATTTCCCACCATAGAGGTTGTTAAAATTTACACATAATGCAATGGTAATGCACAAGAGGGACAGTTTCCCCCTACCTCACTAACATAGTATGTTATCCACCTTTTAAATCTATGCCAGTAGTTCTCAATGCTAGCAGCGTGTTGGACTTATCCTGCGGATCTTTTAAGAAATGCCAATGCCCATGACATACTTGGAGAGACTCTAAGTCAGTTAGCCTGGAGACTGGGCATCCATATTTTTAAAGAAAGATTCTTAGGTAACTGTACTGTGCACTCAGGATTAAGAGTAACAGACCTATGCCAACCTGATAGGAGAAAAGTATTTCTGTATAGCTCTGTCTCTTTCTTATGAATAAGATCAAACTTTTAAAAATATGTTTGTTGTTTTAGTTCCTTTTCTATGAAGTATGCTCATATTCTTTATGTATGCAAAATTAACTCCTGAATTTTACTGTCTTTAAAGAACTGCTTATTGGTGAATTCAGCCTTAATTTGCAATCAGTTGCAAACATTCTTCCTGATTGAACTCTGACTTCTGGCTTTGCTTCAGACAATTTTTGGCATACAGAAATTTATTTCTGCAAAGACAAATGTATGAATCTTTGATGGCTTGTGGGTCTTGTACCATACTTAGAAGCCTATTCCACATCTAGATTTTTAAAATATGTCTAACAGTTTCTCCTAGCAGTTTTACTGAATCCATTATTTCCCCTGCATTGTGAGGTAGCGACCTTCATTAAATACTAAATTCCTACATGTATTTGAGGCTATTTCTGGAATTTCTATTCTTTTTCACTTACCTATCCATCAATTTATGAGCCATACCACATTTTCAATTAGTGTAGCATTGTTATACTTCCAATCTAATTGGCTACTCACTCCTTAGTAGTCTTCTTTTTCAGGATTTCCCTATCTGTGTTTGTCTGTTTTCTATACAAAATGTAAACTGGAAGATTAAATTATCCAAAATGTAACACAGAAGTAAAGTTATGGGCAATATTTTTTTAAGAGTATGATATATAAATGATATTCAGAAAGAAAAAGAAGGGGAACAATATTTGAAAACATAATGAATAAGAATTTCCCCAAGTTGCTGAAAAACAATATTACATTAAAATATATGATAAAGCCCATGCAGGATAAACAGAATTAAATCTACAGCTAAGTAAGACTGAAACATGTTAAAGACAAAGAGATAATCTTGATAGTTACCTGAGTATTGCCTTTATGCTAATCACTACTCTAAGGATTTTTCTTATCATCTCAATCTTCCGAACTCTATAAAATTGGCACATTTCTTTCCCATGTTGTAAATGACAGAACTAAGGTAGCGTGGTTAAGTGACTAACCTAGTCTTAAAGCTACTAAATGACAGAACCAGAATTTGAACTCAGACTGTTTTATACCAGAACCCATGCTCTTAATCACTATGCTAAACTTTCTAGCAACTCAACAACAGCAGACTCTTCAACAGCAACAAAAAGGGTTTACCACTCACTGACACTCCATGAAAACACTACTGAAAACTGTACTTCAGAAAGAAGAAAACTGAAATCTAGATAAAAGAAATAAAACACAAGAAACAACAGTGAGCAAAGAAATGGGTAAACATGTACACAGGGTGGGAAAACAGTTTTTAAAACAAAAAGCAGTTTAAAAATAAGATTAAAGAAAGAAAACACTAAAGTTAAAAAATGTCCCAGTTGGGTGCAGTGGCTCACACCTATACTCCCAGCACTATGGGAAGCTGAGGTAGGAGGGTCACCTGAGGTCAGGAATTTGAGATCAGCCTGACCAAGGCAGTGAAACCCCGTCTCTACTAAAAAAAAAAAAAAAAAAAAAATTACCCAGTGTGGCGATTCACACCTGTAGTCTCAGCTACTCAGGAGGCTGAGGCAGCAGAATTGCTTAAACCTGGGAGGTGGAGGTTGGAGTGAGCCAAGATTGTGCCTCTGCACTCCAGCCTGAGCGAGAGAAAAAGACTCCTTCTCAAAAAATAAAAATAAAAATAAAAAATGTCCTGAGTTTTAGATTTGAATAGAAGGAGGGCAGAGGCACTGATCACAATTTTTAAAAACAAGGATGAAGTTAAGTATTATAGGACTCTTTTAAAACTCAACTATTATGCAGCCAAACTATCAATCAAGGAAGTTAACAGAAAGATTTTCATGTAGAAAAAAATCTCAAAACAATTTACCTCCCAATTTAAAGTCACACTTTAAAAAATAAGGAAGAAATAAATTTGGGCTCGGCATGGTGGCTCACAACTGTAATCCTAGCACTTTGAGAGGCTAAGGCACGAAGGCTGCTTGTGCCCAGGACCAGCTGGGCAACACAGTGAGACCCCATCTCTACCCAAAATAATTTCTTAAAAATTAGCAGGGCACAGTGGCTAATATGGTTTGGCTCTGTGTCCTCACCCAAATCTCCTCTTCTAGCTCCCATAATTCCTACATGTTATGGGATGGGCCTTGTGGGAGATAACTGAATCATGGGTCGGGGGGAGCTTTCAGTGCTGTTCTCATGACAGTGAGTAAGTCCCATGAAATATGATGGTTTTAAAAATGGGAGTTTCCCAGCACAACCTTTCTCTCTGCCTGCCACCATCCATGTAAGATATGACTTGCTCCTCCTTGTCTTCTACCATGATTGTGAGGCCTCCCCAGCCATGTGGAACTGTACATCCATTACACCTCTTTCTTCAGTAAATTGCCCAGTCTTGGGTATTTTCTTTATCAGCAGTGTGAAAACTGACTAATACAGTGGCACATGCCTGTAGTCCCAGCTACTTAGGAGGCTGAGATAGGAAAATAAGCTTGAACCCAGGAGGTTGAGGCTGCAGTGAGCTATGATCATGCCACTGCACTACAGCCTGCGCAAGAGAGCCAGACCCTGTCTCAAAAGCAAAAATTAAACAAACATGAGTATGTCTATTCTTATGGGTTAGTAGGTACACATATTTTTCTTCGCTCTGTCCACTGAGAGACCAGAAGCAGCAACAATACAACAGTAACAGTATTTGTTTCCAAATACCATTCTCCAAAAGGAACCAGGGCTCCCTGAAGAAATGGTTGAGTCTGAAGCTAAGAAAGATAAAGTACAAAATTAGCCTGGAACATCTTACAGTGAAAAAAATCAGAAGACAGCGTGGAAAAAGGGTGCATATCAAAAGGATACATGAGCCAATCTCAAAAAGAGTCCAATAGCTAAAGCTGGAATAATTTAAGCCACAAGTAAATTATGTTGGTATGAAATTATAACCTAAAGGAAAAAAAATGAGTTTCTACTGATGCAACAATTGAATAAATAAATATGGGAAATGAGACAAATCTTCCTTACAGAAGAATGCCAATCAATACATGTAGAAAGAATATAGGAAATAGAAAATCACAATTAGACTATCACAGTTACAACTGTTGTAGATAAGATCCACTAATGAATGCTAAAATTAATGAACAAATTTTAAGGAGAAACAGAAAAGTTGCACAGCCTCAAAATATCTCCACTAAAATATTTAATAATTACTTTGGTGGTTTTAACTTACGTCCATCAAAAATGGGAAACGTACCACCCCTCCATTTGAGTGTAGGCTGAACTCAGAGATTCAATTCTAACCAACAGCATATGGAAAGGAAAAAATAATAACTTTACAGTGGAGAAACCTGGCAGAGGCCAGCTTAACCAAGTGACCAAGGTTAACATCACCAGTGATAAATCAGGTTGATGTCATGCATCTCCTGATGTGATGCAACTGAAAGGGTCCTTCACTTGTTGAATATTCTCTCCGGAAACCTGTAATCCCAATCTAATCATAAGAAAGCAAGAGAAAAACCCAAACTGAGGGACATTCTACAAAATACCTGACCTTTTTAAAAATATCAGGGTCATGAAAGACAAGGAAAGACAGAAAACCTTACACAGGCTCAAGAAACTAAGGAAACTTTTCTACTAAATACAATGTGGGATTCTTTACATTTCAGAAAAGACATGATAAGCGGGGAGCAGTTGCCCATGCCTGTAATCCCAGCGCTTTGGGAAGCTTAAGCCGGCAGATCACTTGAGGTCTAGAGTACAAGGCCACCGTAGCCAACATGGCAAAACCCTGTCTCCACTAAAAATACAAAAATTTGCTGGGTATGGTGGTGGAGGTGGGGGGCTGTAATCTCAGCTACTAGGGAGGCTGAGGCAGGGAGAACTGCTTGAGCCTAGGAGGTGGAGGTTGCAATGAGCCAAGATCGCACCACTACACTCTAGCCTGGGCAACAGAGTGAGAATTCGTCTCAAAAAAAAAAGGAAGAAAAAAGAGAAAAGACATGATAGTATGTTTATAATATAGGAATTAACAAATATCATAAACAGTCCCAAAGGCACAAATGGGGGGGAAAAAAACCCAATAGATTTAACTACATAAAAATTAAACATTTCTGTCAACAAGAACCCATAAACAAAGTCAAAAGACAAGCCACTGATTGGGAAAAAATACATGCATCACAAAGGTTTACTAACTAGAATATATAAGTAACTTCTGCAATTCATGTAGAAAAACATACAAAAATATCTCAATTTTTAAAATAGGCAAAGGATATGAACAGAAGAGGATACCAAAATGTACAATAAAAACTTGAGAATATATTTAGTCCCATCCTTTTTTTCTTTTGTTTTTTTTTGAGATGGACTCTTGCTCTGTCACCCAGGCTGGAGTGCAATGGCACAATCTCGGCTCACTGCAACCTCTGCTTCCAGGGCTCAAATAATCCTCCCACCTCAGCCTCCTGAGTAGCCGGGTCAGTCCCACTATTAATTAGGAAAATACAAATTAATATGATGTTGTACAAAACTTTAAACAATGACATTTACTATGAAAATAGCTTATAATGAAGGCAAAATGGTTAACTGTGTGTTTATGTGTCTTATACAGAAAATACTATACATAAGTAATCATTCACTCAAGTAAACCAGTATACTTACTTACTAAAACCAAAGTTGACTGATTGATCACTGAGAATTTCAAACTGGACAGGCCGATCACCCATGCAATATTTTCTTAATAACTCGAGGCAGGTATGTAATGTTTTCCTTGAGGGCTTATTTTCATGAAAAAGATCCCCGCCTAACAAAATGAAATCCACCTGATCAACAGAAAATGGTGTTAAAATTAGTCTGTTTTACAGGTACAAATTTTGTAAACTACAGGTGAAAGAGGTAAAAAAAAAATACTCACAAAAGACACTGTTATGTACAGCAATTTAAAAATTTACATTTATTCAAAGGGATTTTCCATCTAGTAATTAATCTGACTCCAATTTAGCTGACTCAGCTATCTTCAAAAAAGCCATCTTCCGATTACTACACCAAGTCTCTGATTCAGACTACTCAAGGCGATCATATTTTTTCTATTATTCAAATAAAATTTAAACTTAGCACTTTAACAGAACATATGTAATAGATACCAAATTCAATCCAAACCATTCATTCAATTCATTCAGCCATTATTTACAGAATCAAGAGAACGAGTAAATGTAATATGCCTCTAGAAGTCCCTACATGGGGTTCTGGCGTGGTGTGGGGCGGGAAGCAGTTACGATTAAGGGATGCAGGGAAGGGAAATAGAGGAAGCAGAAGGGCAGGAAAGGGCAAAGTAGAAGTAAGTAGCTTACACTCAGGGGAGGATTCTGTTTTAGGACTCAAGAGTCAAAAAAGAAAGCACATGCAGGATTCTCCAGCAGGAAACAGATCTCCTTTGGCCACAGTTTCTTTGCCTTCAAGGAAGGAAAAATGTACCTTACAAGGATTCTTTTAAGAATCCAGCCATTCTATTACTGAAAAGTCAAAAAAGAACAGATGCTGGTGAGATTACGGAGAAAAGGGAACACTTACACACTATTGGTGGGGGTGTAAGCTGGTTCAACCATTATGAAAAGCAGTGTGACGATTCTTCTAAGAGCTAAAAATGGAACTACCATTCGACCCAGCAATTCTATCACTGGGTATAAACCCAAAGGTATATAAATCATTCTGTCATAAAGACACATGCACACATATCTTCACTGCAGTACTATTCACAATAGCAGCAACATGGAATCAACCTAAATGTCCATCAATGGTAGACTGGATAAAGAAAATGTGGTACATAGAGACCATAGAATACTATGCAGCCATTAAAAAGAACCAGATCATGCCCTTTGGAGGGACACAGATGAAGCTGGAGGCCATCATCCTTAGCAAACTAACAGAGGAATAGAACACCAAATACCACTTCTCCCATTTAGGTGGGAGCTAAATGATGAGAACACATAGACACAGAGAGGGGAACAATAGACACTGGGACCTACAAGAGGGCAGAGGCTAGGAGGAGGGAGAGGATTAGGAAAAATAACTAATGGGTACTAGAATTAGTATCTGGGTGCCAAAATAATCTGTACAACAAACCACTGTCATATGAGTTTACCTATATAACAAACCTGCACATGTACCTCTGAACCTAAAATAAAGAATCCAGCCACTGCCTCACTCAATTAACAAATTTAAAACATGTGTACTCACTGCTTTCTGATCCTTTCTAAGCATTAAGATTTAGAGTGAACAAACAAAAGATTTTTCACCCTCATGGAGTTTTCCTTCTAGTGAAGGTGACAGATAAAAAACAAGTAAACAATTCAATAAATTATTTCAGAGTGCTATTAAAAATATGCTATGAAAAAAATAAAGCAGAGTAATGTGATAAAAGAGTGCTTGCAAGCATCAGGGAAGATGTCTCCAAAAGGGTAAGACTTGAACTGAGAACTCAGAAGTTGACCCCGCCAAGAGCAAGGTGCTCCAAGCAGAAAGAACTAGATGTGCAAAGGCCTCAGAGTAGAACATGCCAGTGTGGATGTAGTAGTGTCAATCAGGCAGAGGGTAGCAGGACATAAAGTTTCATGGCAGGGGCCAAGATTGAGTTGAACCTTGTAGTTTGAATTTTATACTAGATTCAACGGAAGGACACTTGGAAAATTTTAGACAACAGAGTGCCATGATCTGATTTATTATTTTAAAAGTTCACTTTGGCTGTTATGCTGAGTAGACGCAGCAGCAAAGAATGGAAGCAGAAAGGCCGAAGGGGACCTACTGCAGTCCATGTGAAATGTGATAAAGTTTTAAACTAAGTTTACTAGTGTGAAGACAGTAGTAGAGAGGCACCATATACATTTGAGAGGAAGAACTAAGACCTAGCAGATAAACTGAAGAGAACGCTGCAGAAAAGTCAAGGTTGGAGGTGTTACTTTGCAAGTCATCATTTATGTTTATTCTCCAGCTCTCTCCTGGGCTGATATTTCAACTGCCTGCTGCAGATTTTTCCTGAATGTCCCATTGCAGTCTCCAACTCTAAATTTGTCTAAATCAGAATTTGTCAACTTCCCACACGAGGAAGTCTCTCTTCCTTATCTATTTCTATTTTTGTGTAACTATTCACCCAAACTCCACACACTTAGAGTCACTGTCATCCGTTTGCCCTCATCCCCATCCTCTACAACTAACCAAAGTACATAAATCCTCTCTTTGCAGTATCTCTTGCATTCATTTCCTCTTTTCCATCCCTAAGGTCAGCACTTCAAAAAGGTCTCAAACAGGTCTCCAATTCATGCTACTATACTCTGCTGCCAGAAGACTTTCTATTGAACTGGGTGGAAATTTCTCAATCTGATATTTGAAGCTCTCCTTATTGCAGCTCAAACCCTCACTTCTAGTCTCTCAGCATGCTTGCTAACTATGACCTGCTGGAGAGGCAAATTGACTACAGGGCCCCTAACATACCTAACACTGTCTCACCTGTGCCCTCACTCCTGCTGCACATGGATGTACATTCTCTATGCTCCCCACTGGCCAAAATCCTACCCTTCCTCCAAAGCCCAAGTTAAACATAAACTTCTTCATTAAGCTCATCTTGCTATCATATAAATGTGATCTTTTCTGCCTCTAAACTCGAAGGAAATGCTATTTAGAATTTTCTTAGGGCTCCTATCACATACAACCTTGCATCAGAAGATTGTGGATATTTGTTTTGTCTTTCACACTGATTGGCTTCTATGTCCTCTGAAAGCAAAAGCTTTGACAGTCACATTTCAAAGAGACACTGCCACAGGATCCTGCATTCAGTAAACACCCCAAAAACATCTATAAATTTTAACAGACTATTTACAAAAGTAGCTCCTACTTGAATTTAGCACACGAAGCACATAAAATCGGCATTGAGCTTTTAGTATATTGACATTTAAGCAGGCAAAGTAAGCACCTGAGCTTATAAAACAAATCTCTAATTTTAGAAGGGAAAATAACTTGTTAACTAAAAGAATATATTAGAAATTGCACAAATTAAACCACACTCACTTCATTTTCCTGAGCAAGTCTTAAAATTTCATTGAGTGTTACAAAGGTATCATTTCCTCTGACTGCGTCTTTCTCCATAAATCCAAGATGAATATCTGTTGCAACTAAGATTTTAAACGTGTTTTCATCATCACTATATTAAGAAAGAAACATTTCAATAAATTAATAATTTATTAAAAGGATATTCAAACAAATTGAAACTTAAACTTATAAAACAAATAATAACAGATATGGAATAAAATCCTTTTTTAGCCTGATAATTCATCTGAAAATCTGAAGTAGTCAACGTATCACTAACATTACAGTTTTCCTAACCGCTAGTTCAATATGTAACAAATATACATAAATCTTTACAAGGTTCTATAACTGCTTCAAAAATTTATAACCTTGTTATAACCAGTTTTACAAACTCATGTAACCCAGGCCTAACAGTCGGCTTGTTTTCTTCTTCTGTTGCACAGCAAAAACCAAACAGGTTTGAACCTATATCTAAACTTGTTATTAATCTGACTTTGTACTCTTCTAGAAAAATCAAAGTTAATTTAAAAAGCCTTCCTCTAAGTTTTTAAGTCAATTTTATACTAATATTCTAGTAACCTACATTCAGGCCCCTGAAGTCACCTGCTTGACTCTACTCTCTATACAGGGTTAGATTTCATTAATAAAATTGGCCAAGTAACAAAACAAGAGTTGTTTCAATTTGAATTTGGCAAGATTCAAAGATACTTAAATGTGAAGTAGCAATGCAATAGTTATTAATACTCGCTTACACTAAATTTAACTTTAATTATATAAAATACTTTTATTTCTATGATCTTATCTCAACCCCCCCAGAGTCAGGCATTAGTATCTCTGACAAATGAGAAGGCTAAACCCAGATAAATTAACTGCTTTATTACACAATTAGGAACAGAAACAAGGCTAAAACCCATGATGAAAACTCAGGCTATTTTCAATAAACCACAATGAATTTTCTAAAAATTTCCGTATATATCTCCAAAATTCAAATCTTTACAAACAAAAGATATTTCCAGAAGCAATTTCTCTTCAAAAACTTCAAAAATGATATGCACACAGTTCTGACTGCTATATCCAAGAACGTAGGTCAGAATACTTTTCAACTCACAATACTACATGTTTCTGTAGCAATTTATAAAGTATTTTCACATGAATTCTCTCATTTAAGCCTCAAAATTAATCTGAGAAAGTATAGTTATTCCAATTATACAAATGGCGAAACTGAGGCAAGGCTCAGAGAATTGTTGACTTGCCCCAAGGTCACACGGCTAGTAGCATCCAAAGACTTGAAACCAGGGTGAAAGACTCCAAGTCTAAAGTCTTTCCCACTTAACTTTTACAGTCCTTTTATTTATTCCCATTTTGCTCGAATTCATTTCGAGCTTATTTAATAGTAGAGGAATTTACTCTAAAAATCTTAAACAGAAACTGCGTTGACTAATAAGAATTTGTCAGGAAAATTCAAGAATATTTATAACTTCAATAATTTACGACAAAGCCTAAGGACATAAACTTAATACTATAGCAATATGTATCAGATTACGGCAAGACTCAATCTATAGCTGTATATTAGCTTCCAGTTAAGAAACAGATAAAAATTTAAAACATTCCAAACATCCTTTTTGATGACTAATATTTCTGTTCACAAGCATGTTCCTTATTTACTGCTTATTAAATAAGTGTTCTTTTACTGTGATCACAGTTGAAGCTTTAGAAACCCAAAATAACAAGGGATACCAGAAGTCAGGTGCTTACAGTGCGTCTGCATGGCTCATTTTTATGGTCAGTCAAGCGCCTCTGGGACCAGGTTCTTCTCCAAAAACCCCTGGGTCCGGTACTCAAATGTAAGAAAATGCACTCGATTCCAAATCCTAGAAATTCTAAAAACAAAATTACATCATAAAACACATTTTTTAAAAAGCCTGCACATATTTAACCAACATGATTTACACTGCATAAGGTACAGACGTCTTAAATAAGCAGACTGACAAATCTAGAAGTCTCATTTTCATGTAAACACCCACTATACTTTTATTTTTTAATGAGCTAAGCACAGAAAATAACACATGTCCATGCCATTCTAGTTTCATCAGGATGATTAAACTCCTATTTTCCTTTACTGTGGTCTTACGGGAAATTAATATATGTTAAATAAATGAGCAAAAAGAGTGTCACAGTTCTGGTTCAACACAAAAACAACTCTAGATGTGCAGACATTTTTAAGTTGCACGCATATGTTACTCTGGAGAACGGAGGCAATCCTGTATTTCCTCCTCAAACACTCGATTTTTTTTTTTTAAGAATCTGGCTTGTTTGGAAAAGGGAAGGGCCCCGCGTTTAAAGCGAATGTAAATAAACACTTGGTCTGCAGAGGAGCACCTTTAGGCACCAGTAGGATGACTGAAAAAAGCTAAATTTGGGGAGGAGCGGCTGCCACCGTGAGACAACCCCCACCAGGTCTGGAGCTCCAAATTCCGCCAGGATTCCAAGCCTCAACACGCCCCTACCGCGGGGCGCCTCGAAATTAGAACGCAGAGGACCCGCCAGGACCCCTACCTGGCCCACTCGGCCCAGTCTTCCTGAGGTTCCAATGAACTCTGGGCTTCCGCCTGGGAACCTGCAGAAACAGGAGGCGGATACAATTTCTAAATTATTCCACTCCTGGACTCTTCAAAGCCCCACCATCGGGACCCGAAGCAGTCTACTTTCCGGAAAGAAACGGCGGGATCCGTGAGACGAAAACAGCACTTTCCGAACTTGCCTCTGAGAACCCGCAGGGCCATAAACCTGAATTCGGCGGGAGAGAACGGCATCCGTTTCTCTCGCGACACTTCAAGGACAACGTAGACGCTTCAAGTCCAGTTTGGTTCTCATTGGCTGCTGCACGCCGTGAGGGGGCGGGGAAAGTAGCGGAGAGGACCCGCCTCACGCAGGAGCCAACCCTGAGCAGCCGAGGAAACGAACCCGGAAGTGAGATGCTCCACGGCGGCGATTTTCCCTTCTGTCAGGTGGGTAGTTATTCCCTGTCCCGGACCTCGCTTCCTGGTGGACTCGCGCTATCTAAGAACTCCTGAGCCCATTGGGGTGGGTAGCCTGTGGACACAGGCCGAGCCCTGCAGGTCGGGCCGCGTCGTGGTCCCCAGGTAGGACTGAAGCCGCTTCTCCGCTTTTGGCTGTTTGGAAGGCCGCAGCCGGTGCTCGTGGGCCTGTGAGCTATCGGCCCGTAGCAGAGTGCCGGAGCTGGATGCCCTCTCCCTCCCTCCCACTCTCCAGAACTTCTACCGGTGTCACCCCTGGGTCCTTGAGTTCAGCACATCTGTATTGCTTTGTGCTGAGAGGAGTAAGATGTATAGTGCAGTGAAAAATAATGTGGAACTTTTGAATTAGAATGTCTGCCCTTTCAGTTCCATTGAATGGTCCTTGATCTAGGGCAAGTTGTTTTAATCTATCTGAACCTCAGTGCCTTCACCTGCAAGGTTTATAGCTGCGCCTATCACTGAGTTGTTTGTAAGGAGTTGACACAGTTCGGTTGTCTCTCAAAATAGGATGTTCCCTTTAAGTTAGGAAACATACCCTGATATTCCTGATATCATCATCAAGTAAGGATGCTAATCAGTTTTGATTTTTAACTGTGAATCGGGTAGATGCGCCTAGGTTTGGTTTAAACTAAATATGCCAGTGAATTTTTTATATAATTTATTATACATGGATCTGTAAACTCAAAACTTATATAAAGGGAGTTTTTATTAAAAGGAAAGGCACGTTGGGGGAAAGGGTAAGATCTGTGGTATGAGGTTACTATATTTGATATAATTACAAGTGAACTTTACATTATTTATTAGCATCTGTTAAGTGTTTAATGAATTGATGTATAGTCATTTTTGTGTTGCAAGGTTCAGGAATTAGTTTAAGAAGGAAAAAGTGGAAGCTCCAGGAGAATTAATAAAACACAAAGCAATTCTGATTGGGTGTCTCTGAATGGGACTGAAAAGTGGGATCGGCCTTAGGAACACTTTAGTAAAATTCTTACATTTTACAATAAAGTAACAGGTCCAGAAAAGTTACTGGACATGAGTAATAAATTTAAACTTGAGTTTAGTGCTGTTGCCACTAGTAATAAAATTCAGTACATTAGGATTGTACACTGTTAAACTTGTGAGATTAGGTACAAAGAAATCAGCAACTTGGGGTTATGCCTAACTCCGGAACTTCTCAGAATCCATTCCAGGCAAAATCAAGTGCCAAGACTTTAATTAAATTTAATGCCAGATGTATTTCTTAATGCTTTCTATAGACAAGTGGTAGTTAAATATAATTTACTGTGGTCCTTATCTTTAAGCTTATAATATTTAAGAGGCTAAAACAAGAACAAAGTTAGTGGTGAAATACAACAAAATGTAGCACCAAAAAAAGTAGAAAGCGGAGAGATCTAAATGGGAAGATCAAGAAAGAATGAAAGAGACAACATCTGAGAAGAACCTTGAAAGACTGATAAGATTATAACACATATAGTTCAGAGGCTAAGAATTGGTATGTTTAAATTCTCTATTGATTTTTCTCCTTTTCTTTAATTGATTAAGGTTTATATGCTGTGTAACTCTTTAAGCGGATACTGGTTTATAAATTAATGTGGCAGCTTGGCAGAATAAACATCAGTTCCTTCAGGAAGCCTTCTTTAATCCCTTAGGACTAGGGGAATTATGAACCTCCTGTATTCTCATGGTTTCTAGACATGGTTCTGTTGTACTTATCATGTTGTCTTTGCCAGACACCTGGTACCTTTGCCAGTCACCTACACTAGAGTAAGCTTCCTGAGGTGAAGACATGGGTCTTGCTCATTACTGAATCCCAGTACCCAGAAATTGGCACATACAAGACATTCTATTCATATGAGTTGTATGAAGGAAAGAATGACAGCCAAAATTCAGTTGAAAACAAGGAGCCAACTAAGAACTATAGTTGCCTATCAATGAATAGGACTACTTTTTAAAGCAGTGAAGTTTCCTAGGCCTGAAATTATCAAAGTTGAAATAGGATAATTAGTCTAGATGTTGTGATAAAGATATAAACACTGATCAGAGACTGGGACAGATGTCCTTTTGGGGGCTATTCCGTCTTCAAGAATCCCTGATTCTTCGAAGTAGATTTTTAGGAATTAGTTTTTATGTCTGCTCTATATTATCTGTGTGTCTAGTTTATAAAAATCTTGAATACACCTGTCTTCATTGTATTATGCTTCAAAACCTTCAAGCATTCATCACTCTTACCATAATACCCTCATACCTAAAGATTAAAAATGTTATAGTAATATAGTTGACTTAGAAGAAAACAACAAAAGAAGCATTAGACCATTAAAGAGCACAGATAACTGAAATCTGCCAGCACCAATATTCAGTGTATGTAAGGGATATCGTGAGGAAAACAAGAGTTTAGACAGAGTTTAATTGTGTATCTTTGCAAGATTTATCTATGCAATTGATAAAGCTTGAATTATTGTTTTACTAATAACTTTTGTATTTGTATTTTCAGATCTTGATGAATAAAGCAGTCGTAATTCATCTCTAGAAAGATTGTTTTTACCCTGGCAATTGAAATGCTTTTTATTTAGAATAATAGTAAAAATGGAAAAAGAAAAAGGAAATGATGGACTACTAGACCAAGAGAATTCCTTGGATTTTTCTGAACACTTTAACCAACTTGAATTGTTGGAAACACATGGACACCTTATTCCTACTGGGACTCAAAGTCTCTGGGTAGGCAATTCTGATGAAGACGAGGAGCAAGATGAAAAAGATGAAGAGTGGTATCGATTGCAAGAAAAAAAAATGGAAAAAGACCCAAGCAAATTGCTTCTTTGGGCTGCTGAAAAAAACCGGGTAAAAAAAAAAAAAAAAAAAAAAGGGAAGTTTAACAGTAGGAAAAGCACTGGGTTCAGTCCAGAAGACTCCCTTACCATTGTGGCCATCGTACCTATCTCTCAATTATGAGGGTCAAATGAGACAATGTACATGAAAGCACATATTAAGCTGCAAAATATCATGCTAGGTATTATTTGGGGGGTTATGGATAATTATCCATAAAGATAACAAGAAATCATCTATATTTTCAAATCATTTATATAAAGTCATTAGGATCATTTAGGAAAGAGAGGATGGAAATTAACATTTATTAAATACCAACTACACCAGGTACATTTTTACATTATTTAATCTTCATATATCCCTAGGAATAATAGTCTTCTCTTTTATAGAGTAAGAAATTGAGATTCAGGGATATTAATTTCCCAGGATCATCAAAGTGGAATGAACCCTACTTCGCCACTTCCACTTCATTTTACAAAGTTTCCCCATTGCCTGTGTTAGTAAACTAATAACTAAAAGGGTCTTGCATTTTAAATAGCTTTTTAACCCAAGAGCATGCCACATTTAACCAAAGACCCATATAAGAAACTAAAAATTACAACCGGAAAGGGTGTTTCTAAGATTGTATTTAGAAGGAATTGAGCTCTTGAATCCCTAGAATTCCTTATTAATACTTTATTCTTCTGTTAAAAGTTTTATTTTTAAACGTTTCATACAGTGTGTATATTGATGTGATAATCCTACTATGGAAAAATAAAGCAGCTATGTTTTCTTCACAGATAACATATAAAATATTAAATAGAACTAAAGCCTATGTTATTCATTGGACTAAAGCTTTTATGCAGTAAACCTTAGTTGGACCAGGAGTAAATATATGGTTTGGTATTCAGAGAATCTCATTCTTAGAAGCAACAAAGTGTAGTTAACACTAACTTGTCCCTTCTTAAATCAGTAGTCCTCTCTTCTCAAAAAAGAGATCTTAAATCATTTTCATTTTAAAGTCATCAACGAACAAAGATGTTTTTATTCAATTTAATTAAATCTAACCCCACATGGCAACTTTATTTGTTGTTTTGGTTTGAGTTGAGTTGAAAGATTTTTTTTTCTTCTCAGCTTTCTACAGTGCGGAGACTACTTTCTGAAAAGGCCACTCACGTGAACACTAGGGATGAAGATGAGTATACGCCTCTTCATCGCGCAGCCTACAGTGGACACTTAGATATTGTCCGGGAGCTCATTGCTCAGGGGGCAGATGTTCATGCAGTGACTGTGGATGGCTGGACGCCGCTGCACAGTGCTTGTAAGTGGAATAATACCAGAGTGGCTTCTTTCTTACTGCAGCATGATGCAGATATCAATGCCCAAACAAAAGGCCTCTTGACCCCCTTGCATCTTGCTGCTGGGAACAGAGACAGCAAGGATACCCTAGAACTCCTCCTGATGAACCGTTACGTCAAACCAGGGCTGAAAAACAACTTGGAAGAAACTGCATTTGATATTGCCAGGAGGACAAGTCTCTATCACTACCTCTTTGAAATTGTGGAAGGCTGTACAAATTCTTCACCTCAGTCTTAACAGTTACAGTAATTTTCTTAAGTTTCTAAGTGCCAGTGCCTCCTTTGTGTGAGATGTAAAGTATTCCCATAATCAAAGTTGATGTCA